CGCCTCCCCTGGGGCCTGAGGTGGGCCCAGCAGGGGGGTGACTGTTCCTGCCCCTGCTCAGGAAAATGGAGGCAAAGAAATTGTTAAATATGTTGGCTTTGTTGTCTGGTGTGACGACCAAATTTCCTAACGTGTCCTGCAGGGGCCCCACGTTACCTGGAACCTTCTTTTTGCCCTCTATGTATTTAAAACAGGACTTCTTATTGTCCTTAATTCGGGAAGCTAGTCCCAGTCCCATCTCTGCCTTGGCCTTCCTGACTGCCCCCCCTACATCCCCGACCAACTTCAGATTTAGACTGAGGGGGGATTTGATCAGTCTTCAACCATCCGAAGAGACGGAGCAGATGGAGACAGAGAAGACAGAGACGGAGCAGATGGAGACGGGCTGTTCTCCATGACCACAGGGGACAGGACGAGGAGCAACGGCTTCAAGCTGCAGCAGGGGAAACTGAGGCTGGAGATGAACAGGAACGTCCCGACTCCGAGGGTGGTCCCGGTGCCCGTCCTCAGAGGTTTCCAGGAGCAGGTTGGAGACACCGCAGCTGTGCTGGGTGACGGTCGCCGCATTCATCCAAAGCCAAGCAGAAAGCTGGGGCAGTCGGCGCCCTCCGGAGGAAGCAGGGCTAGGCCACAGGCAGGGCTCACCCGGCAGCAGAGGCACGTGGAGCCTTGAGGCCCCCTGCAGGGGGGATGAGGTCACATGACATCATGATGAGGGGTAAAAGCAGGGTGCGGGGATGACACCACGATGACGTGTGACAGGGGGTAAAAGGGGGTGTGGGAATAACGTCATGATGACGTGTAGCATGGGGTGAAAAGGGGTGAAGGGATGATGTCATGGTGACGTGTGGCATGGGGCGAAGGGGTGCGGGGATGACGTCATGACGACGTGTGGCATGGGGTGAACTGGGAGGAATTGGGGGATGACGTCGTGATGACGGGGCAGGGGGGGCGCGTTACCCGCTCCTCCGTCGCTCCCTCCGCGCCGCGGCCGCCAGGGACAGAGCGGGGGGAGGGGCGGGTTGTGTACAGCGTTCCCATGGCTCCCGCTATTTCCGCCCCCGGCCGGAAGTGGTCGGTGGAAACACGGAAGTGGGGCCCGGCCCCTTCCGGCTGGCGCTGGCGCTGGCGCTGATGCGGGGCGGGGCGGGGCGGGGCGGG